ACTATAGTTTTTTAACTGTCCCACGGTAACTCTTTAATTTTTCGGGATGAAAAGTATCTAAAATGTTGACCGGGGATGTAAGGTATCACCATACAAAATTTCATTTAAATCGGACAAACAGACAGAGAATTAAAAAAATCCAAAAAAATCTGGATCTATTCTATTTCTCTTCCTACATACCCCTGACTCGGTTTTAAGCATTTTTCTTCTATGTACAGACGTTCGACGTCTACAGTTTTATTATATGTATAGATATAGTACCTAAAAATTTGAAGCCGCAGGTGATGCAAGTGTCTATATAAAATCAAATCCAACTAACATTATAGAACATATATTTTAGATCTAAGAGCTTTATTCAAAAACATGTAGATAAAATAACACATACAATACATTACAGAACAAAAAACTTTATTCCATTAAGTTCCTTTATCCTAATCCACATTCCTTGTTGTTACAAAATACTCTGTCGCTATTTCATTGAAATAGGGTAATAATATTCTTCTCACGAATTTCCCAAAGGTAGAAAATAATTCATGGGGAAAGATAAAAGTATTAAACAATATTCAGTGACTCTTGGACTAGAAGTTCTATATGTTATGACTGAAAAATTTTGATATCCGGCGCAATTTCTACCTCGATAGAAAGGAATGATCTTTCGTATGTATGTATGTATACAGAGTCATTTTTAATTTACTGAAAACCTTTTGGGTACTATTACATCATAACAACAACATCTGTAACAAGATAAAATAATATTTCTTAAATTTTTATTTTCATACAAAAATAAAAATATTTTTTTGCACCTTCTAAACTTTAAAGTTTTAGCATCTGGCCAAGTTTAAATGAGTAAGCGCGGCTTCCTACTCCCCTCCACCCATCCCCCTCCACCCATCCCCCTCCACCCATCCCCCTCCACCGGACACGCACTTTCTTTTGCTAATGCTGGATTATTACCGTTTAGAAGGTGCAATAAAAATATTTTTATTTTTGTCATATTTAAGATATATTATTTTTTTTCTTACAGATGTTGTTGTTATGTTGTAAATAGTGTATTCCCAAAAGGTTTTCAGTAAATTAAAAATGACCTTATAAATTTGTGTAGTGTGTAAGTATGTATGTGCATATGTCACGCATTTTAGTTCAAAAGACTGGATGAATTTTAATATTTTTGTATTAGGTATATTAGTGAATTTGAATGCGTTGTGAGAGTGACCAAGGTGTATGATGATATGATATTTAAAAATGACATCTGCGAGTTATTACTCGCTTATTAAAAAAGAGAGAGATATCACATAAAAATACGTATATAGGTTCGAATATATATTTTTTATATTTTTGTTATATTTTTTCCTAATCAGTTTTTTTAATCATTCCATTTTATTGTTTGCTTATTAGAAAAAAACCGTGAAGAGTGGCGAATCTCAATAAACCTGAAAATATTTTATTATATAAGTACAATATGAATACGTCAGTGTGCAATATGAATACGAACTTTAATTTTGATGCACTCTCTTGGCAATGGTGACGAGTCAGAATTGATATTAATTAACGTGCACAGATAGTTTCATTGATAGTTTCTTGACAGAAATACCCAATATTTATTCTAGTCTCGACTCAGGACTTGAACTCAGTATCTGTTCTATAATAATAAAAGTAACTAAATAAGAAATGATCCATTATAATTAATACCAAGTGATTTTTTTCTTGTTTCATATTAACCCAACAAATCTTACCTTTAAATTTGCTTTATATTTGATGAACTACAATAATTTTACTACGTTTGTTAGCTGTAACGAATAATAATAATTTATAGATTCCCGATTATATGCCTAACTATTTAATTTCCACTACAATATGAGTGCTATATAAAACAATAATAATAATATGTACAAAAAAATAAATAAAAAAAGCTTACATATATATTATCTTATCTGTTTTAACTTGCTATAAAGAGAGAGAGAGAGAGCTACTTGTTTTTTCTTTTGATTCTCACACATTGAGGACTCGAACCCGCAATATAGATTGACAATAAAAAAACATGAACCTAATTGAAGATAACAATATAATTTAACGTATATATAAATTTCTATATATATTATCATATCTGCCCTTACGTGCGTCTGACATGCAAATTGGATTCATTTCATGAAATGCATTTGGATGTGGGAACATTGCAAAGTCGCTCTCCACGTAGTACTGTACTCAGACTATCGTTAGTTAGAATAGCTTGTTTTTATTCAAATATGTACATTTTTATACCAGACTAGCGACTCACCCTCGCTCTACTCGTGTTCGTTCCTACTTAGGTTTTTTTTTAATTTATTTATTAGGTAAGCCAACGCATTATACAATATGACATATAATTAAAACCAGAAAATATAAAAAAGAAAAAATATTACATTATAGACCACACTTACAGGCTAGCTAACATGATAATAAAAAAGGCATTCTGCTTCCATTTCTTCACACCCAAATAAAAACAATCAAAATAGTAAAAAAAACAGTGCAAAAGAAAAAAACACCAAAATAAAATAACTATAAAAATCCTAATGAGAACTACTCTGACGATTACACATATAAAAAACACTTTAAATTAATTCAAATATATATATATATGGAAAAAACAAAAACCACTAAAAATGCAAGTGGCATATAAAAATAATATTATTTTACCTTATTGCTAGTGCATAAAAAATTCTAAGGTCTATAGATTTGGCCTTTGTATAGATAATAATGTCTATTTCAATAAGATTTTCTAAAAAATATTTAATGTACATTCGATTCACACATGTAGATTCGGCTTAGTTACAATTTTATTACAGTATAGATTTGTGAAAATAAATATTCGAATTTCAGGTAGGTACATTTGTTTTGCTTATCGTATTCAGCCCTTTTTAATTTCCCACTTCAGGGCAAGGGCCTTCCTTTTGCTATTAGGTTCAGGCCACAATTATGGGTTTGAACAACTTGATTTCTTCCTCATTTATTCGCTTCGCTCCGTTTCGTCCCTAGTTTTGACGCTTAATATGGATTTTTTTTTAATTATTTGTGGATTTTCCGATGTTTTAATAGTTAATCTGCTATTGGAAGCGGAGACAAATCCAACAAATCAAAAACCATGAAAATCGGTCCAGCAGTTCTCGATTTATAACTGTTATAACACTAACCCTACGTACTACTAACCCGACTTTGTTTTATACTAGCTTAGTTTGATTCCCCGTACAAACTTTCATCCCCATTTTCACCCCCTTAAGGGATTTCCGGGATAAAAAGTATCCTATGTCCTTCCCAGGGTCTCAAACTATCTTCTTACCAAATTTCATTTAAATCATCAGTAGACCCAGAGATTACCCCCTACAACTTCACAAACTCACAAACTTTACCTCTTTATAGTTTTAGTATACAAAGATAACAAACATACTCACACACTCCTATTTTTAATATTTAGTTTGATAAAAATACTGAAAAATAACATTTAAATAGAAAAATACACCATAGAATTTTATATAACTAAATGATATCGTAAACGAAGTTACTTGTACAATAGACAGTTGTATATTCCTCGAGTAGATGAACATTTTATATCTTCTCAAATTGGTACATATAATTGGATCCCTAGACGGCGATGAAAAGCGTCAACCACTGCCTTGCCGTTCGAGGTTTTTTCACTTTTTTATTAATTCTAAATTCGCGTGTTTATGACAGGTTTTAAAAGATTTTTAGTCTTTGATATAAATAGTAAGAAATCGGTTATTCAAGTATGATTTCCATTTAAAATATCTCGTTATGGCAAAAATTATTTTATTAAGATGAAAAATTGAATTATTCTTAATAATGTTATTCTAAGAAGAAATTTTATACCAATCTCAGAGCCGTTTGAGGATTTGCTATGTTATGTCGTTATTAGAATACTTTTATGGTATGAAAAACTTTTAAAGAAAAAATATTTTGTATGTAAAAGAATTAAAATCTGACTGAGAGAAAAAATGACTGAATGAAAAATTAAAAAAAAAATCCACTTCTATAATGATATAATGCAACTAAAATAGATGCATAGCATGTTTTAAAAAAATTATAATATATAATAGTTGATGTTTTAATACTTTTATTTTTATTTAATTAAAGTGGTTTTGTAAAATTGTGAATATGAATAACTAGTTTTCTGCTCGTATCATATTTTATTGAGGGATTATCGAGCATTCTTTTAATGAAAGAATTTTTGAAATCAGTTTAATACATCAGTACATATACCAACTAAATGTACATATAATCTGTGTATATATATATATATATATATATATATATATATATATATATATATATATAATACATAAATATATAAACTTAATAATATATGCCTTAATATTCCATGCATAAATACATACTCGTATAATAATATAGATAATCGTATCATAGTCCCTTACAAGTAAGGTTGTTGCTAGTTGTCTGTTAATCAGACGAATTATATATTACATCGTCCTTTAGTCTATATAGTCTGGTAGATTGTCTTATTATCTTATGGTGCAATATTATCCTATTAAAAAAATGTTTTTAGCTTCAAATATTATGGCGTTTTTTACACATAAAATCTTGAACTGTAAAATCTTCAGAACTCGATAGGTTGGGATCTAAAAAAAAACATTTTTTTTTGTACTTTAAGGTTATTTTCTTTGTTTTTGTACATAGAAAGATAAAAAATATAAAAAGTAGCAGATATTCTTACAATAGTCGATTAACATTAATATTATAGGATGAATAATTGTATCATAAACTGAGGAATAAACCCTTCGTAAAATTAATTATTTCACCTAAAGATTGATGGATTTTTCTAACTTAAGACTTAACATAGATCTACCCTTGATTTACAATTAATTTCTATTCATTATTTTCATTATTATTATTAAATTTCATATTTTCATTATTCATATATTTCATTTTTCATATTTCATATATTCATTATTATTATTAAATATTCATTAAGAAAAGAATTATGAATATCGATGCAGTTGGTCAAGACATCGCATAACATACCCACAAAAATACACGAATGTAATCGATTTCCACCAGTCAGTTGTCAAACCCAGCCCACATTAAGGCAATATAATATAGAGTTTACACTGGCGCGATAAAAGTAGTAAAATATAAAAATCAAACAGTTCAATGAAAGTTTTTTTTTGCAGTGTGTACCCATCCCGGGGTTGGGCTTCCGAAGAGGCTCTTACCGATGCGTTTGCCGACGCGGCTTCTACTTTCCCAACACGACCGCTGAGAACAGATTCTACAATGGCAGCGATATCGAAGAAGAATACGAAAGACATTTATCTGTAGGTACATTATTTAATATTAAAAAGTCTTATAGCATGCCTAAAAATACTAAAAATTTTTTTAGTTTTCAACCGCCTCTTCAATGTGCCGTTCATCTCAGAAAAAGTGGGTATATAAATAAAGTTTGCCTTTAATTCAAGCGAAAGGCTTACATATTTTTTGGAGTTCAGCAGTTAGTTTTACATTCAAACTTTTATTTTCAACTATTCAAAAAAGTTTTGGTCTGTGTGTGTACTATTGACTAGAACAGATAGAATTTATAAAACGGAGCTCGTTGGATTTTTATAAACGTCTATTAGAAGGTTTTATTTGACTTACTCCATTTGTATGTTTGTCTTTTCCGATCAAAATATTGAATCTCTTGTAAGCACTTGCTGGTATTACATTATGATGAAATTGGGATATCACTCTGACAGTGCTATTATAAAACTTTACGATATGATTAGCTAGAAGATGGTCACAAAAATTATATATATATATGTATATATATATATATATATATATATATATATATATATATATATATATATATATATATATATATATATATATCTATACTTATCTCAATTTTTTAATAATGATTATGGTCTCAACCATTAGTATTATTATTGATGCACTAATTGAAATTATTATTTCAGAATCAACATAACCTATACTCCAAAGTAGCAGAGTTTGAATGCCTGCCGTGTGCTGAGGGATGTGAAGCGTGTGTCGACGGGTCGCCCTGCGTTGCCGCTCTGAACTGGGTCGTTCGCACCACTATCTTTGCGTTGGCTTGCTTCGTAATCTCCTGCCTTCCTTTCATTGTATACTTTACCATCAAATATGGACATGTTCGAGTAAGTATGATAATATTTTTTTAAGCTTATTACCGGGTTTTAACTTATGCTATGTCTATTCAGAAACATATAGAATATAATATTGTATATTTATATTTAGAATAGAAAAACATTTTGGAGGGGAAAAAATATATGACTTAGTCATATAGATAGACGTTTTATCTCAATAACTTTGAGATTACAAAATATACAAGCTTATTGTTCGTATAACCATTCTTCACTGTCCTAATACTAATGGTATCAATATAAAAAAAAATGCACTACAAAATATTAAACAAATATTGCCATAGTAACTTTTGATGGATTTTCAAATCTTCTTTCATCCAGGTGGTGCGAGCAGCTAGTCCAGCACTACTTAGGGTGATAGTTCTTGGGGCTCTTCTCATTTACTCCACCACCCTGGTTATGTATGGAAGACCAACTGTCTTCACATGTACAGCCAGGGTCTGGCTGCGGGAAGTGGGTTTTTGTTTGACATATGGTGCCTTGATGCTGAAGACTTGGAGGTGAATTTTGAAATTACTTACTGCTTAGCTTTAAACAAAAGTAGGTACTTATTTGATTTTTAAAATAGAAGAATTGATCAATCAATCAATTCTTCTATCGATCATCATAAATCCTTCATAAGTTATTTAAAACGCTACAAATTACCAACAAAAACAAATCCTATTTTGAAAGTACTAAAGTGCATTTGTATTTTTTATTTTCATTCATTCATTTGGTTTTATTATTCATAATTGCTATAGTGATATTTACAAACAAACATTTACTAACATTAAATTTCTGATAAATATCTATATCACTATCTATCAATAGAAAAGTAATAAATATATGATGATAATGTTAGTTAATAAATATATAACGACATATTGACTCAGTTTATAGTGACCCTACTTGCTGTACCAACGGTCTCGGGTTTGAGTCCCGCTGGCTGATTCATTCGTATGATGAGCACGAATATCTGTACTTTAGTCATGGGTGTTTATAATATGTAGGTATATTGTAATCATTTAAAGTTTTATATGTGTAGTGTATCAACTATCTGATATCCATAACACAAGCCTCGTAGCCTCGTATATATATATTTTATTTATTCAGTTTCAGACCACCTAACTAATGCTTATATTTAAATTACTGTTATTCTAACCTAAACAATTATTTGCCTATTTTCAATAATTATTTATACTTAATGTTTGATATGAAAGTCTTTATACGTTTTTAAGTAGATGAAGGGCGGCGTTACTACAGCTCTTTTAGTACATATAACGATATCTATACCAATATTATAAAAAGGTAAAGTTTGTGAGTTTGTGACGTTGTAAGGGGTAATCTCTGGATATACGGAACCGATTTAGATGAAATTTGGTAAGAAGATAATTTGAGATCCTGGGAAAGACACAGGATACTTTTTATCCCGGAAATTATCCTTTAAGGGGGTGAAAATGGGGATGATAGTTTATATTGGTAAGCAAGCTAGGGACGAACCCGAGCGAAGCGAGGGTGAGTCGCTAGTCGATTATAAAATGTCAACTAGTCTAAAACCCTATTATATACAAGTCTACATCCAAAATGACAAATAATAGCTTAACTATTTTCAGACACTAACTCGATATTAAAAATTAGATACCTTTTAAATAAAACTATCTTTTCGGATTTTTTCGCGAATTTATTTTGTTTTGAAAAAAATCCGAAAGGATAGTTTTATTTAAAATGTCAAGTATTCGTGTAAATCTAAGAAAGTATTAATTAGATACCTTTAGTCATTTAAAAACCCTGACCATTAAAAATTACTTTACTAAAATTCGATTAATCGATCAACTTAACAGCCGTTCCTCACTGATGCTTATTTCATCATAGACTGACATCTTAAGTAATTAGACGGTAAATTCTCATACAGTCTTCACACTAAGACCTAGATTGCAGAAGCTATTAGAGAACTGTGCGTCCTGCGATAATGGAAACCTTGCATCGCTCTAATAGCATTGTTAAGCAATGCTCCGACAAACAGACAATACGTACTTAATTCTCGGTAAATAGGGATTTATCGAGCGGTTAATAGAATATGTAGTTTTATAATTTTAACACGTTTCTAATGGTTACTTTTGAACTTAAAAATTCCGCTATGGTGGTGGTTTTTTTTTAGCTTTTGAAAGCTTATTAAAACAGAATCATGGAAATCGCAAGTGAAGATATTGCATAATGAAAAAGTTATTAACACAATAGAACCCAAAACAATGATTTTTAGAATTTTTGTCTGTTGTTTTTTCTATCTGTGCATTTGTGCGCGTTAATCTCAAAAACGGCTTAACTGATTTGGGTGCGATTTTCATTAATGTATTTTGGTAAGCTTCATTTAACATTTAATAACCAAAAGGAAATCATACACTGAATTTAGTATTTCCTTCTTTTTGAGGTCACTCAAAAGGGAGCGGTCGCAATTTTGGCGTGCTTTAATTAATCGGATTCATTTTTAGCTTGTTAAGGATTATTCCAAATAAGGTAGGTTAGATTAGTCTAACTAGACTGAAAAAAACATCCCTTAAACTTTACCAAAAAGTCAAAAATATTTACCCGAATACTGCAGAATTTGTGGTAAATTAGATCTTTTGTTTGAAAACGTATAAAAAAATATTTTTTATAAAAAATTGTTATATTATACTATGAAAACGAAATTTTCATGTAATATAGTTGTAATGGAAAGGTTTTATAACTACATTCATAAAAAATCTCTAGAGATAAAAATATACTATTAGCGTATATTCCTCTCTGTGTCATAGTAAGCTCATTTTATTTATCCATCTCTTTTTTCGGGCTTAGAAGTATATTACAGCAGTAAAATTGTACATTTTCTTAACAAATATTCCGAAAAATATTTACCAAAATTACTTCAATTTCCACAAAGCTTATGATTTCTCTTATAAATCAGATACTCAACAAAATTCATTTATATGTTTTTCTACTTTAGTAGTTTATTTCTTATATTGCAAACCTTAGTACATCAGAATCATACAATACACGAATCCCAAACTGGACTACATACGAGTAGGAACAATTTATAACCCACAAGGCAATTCCAAGCAACATCTCCGAATGGCCTCTCCGGTAATAGACAATCCGATGCGACGTGTCGATCTGTCAAGGGACTTACACCCTGAGGTGATAGTCCAATGATCACTTCCTCTACCAATTTACTGTGTGTTGTGTAATACCTATTTGTAGTTAGATGCTGGTCTGAAGCTGTAGCTAGTAGCTTTCTATCTATAACTTCGCCAACATTTTAATGTTTTCTAATATTTTAACGATTCTTTTTTCTTTTAATGTAAATTCTTAAAATATTATTAAAATTTGGCTTTTATACCCGCGGAGAAATAGGTTATCCAATTAAAAATATGCTAAAAATTGACTAATGTGCAATAAAGCCTTCATACTCGTTGGATTACAGATAAAGATCAAGTCCAATACAGTTATTGGGCTTTTCTGTGAAAGAATTGTCAGCACCTGCCCACAGTTGGGCGGTTTTTCATCCCCGTGTCATGAATAAACATAAAGCTATCAGTCACCAGTCGTATCGAGTTGTCGTTCCACCAGACTTCTAGAAAGGAATAGATAGAGCATTTAAATTTCCGCAAGCACTAATGCGCTTTAATGCATTCTGCAATGTTGGTAATTCGAATTGAGATTTAAGATTACCAGTAATTATATTAAACACTAAATTTTCTAACTCAAATTATAATTTTGAGGTAATATAAAGTTTTTCAAAAGAAAACGATTGTTCCAATCACTCAAAAATCTAACTTAGGACGGATCCTAATAATCTATCTCTTTTTTCTTTCTAGCGATAGAAATTTATAGCGATAGAGTATAAATTGTATGCAACTTATATCAGATTTCTATACTTAATAAAGAAAATTTCGGCAATAGGTTATTAAGAACCATCTTCAGAAATGTAAGAACATGCCTATTATATAATAATTGATTCAAAATGAATAAAGTTTACAGAACACACATCGAACTTAATTTGAAACAACGTTTTCTTTTCATTTCATTGTAATTATTAGAAATATGTACCTATGTATGTATGGGAGATGTTTTGGATATGAAATTTCGGATCTGGATATGGATACGAATATATGAATAACATTATAGCAAAATATAATAATAAAGAAAAATATAATCTATACATATAATAAAAATGTAACTAAGCCGAAATAGACATTATTATCGATACAGAGGCCGAATCTATAGTTTTTAGAATTTTTTGTCTATCTGTCTGTTACCGCATCATAGAAAAACCACTGGAGGGATGTTTATGAAATTTGGTATGGTGATTGATAACTGGTGATCCGGGTCAACATATAAGATAATTTTTACCGCGGGAAAATGTCTCGGTAAGGGGTTAATGGTATATAACATATTATAATAATGTTGTGGATGTAAAACTTTTGCTTTTACATCCACAAGAATCTCCTCAATGAAGCCATTTTATTCGTACAGCATCGAAAACATAACCCGAAATTAATAGTCACTAACAAATATTTGTCAGTATTTCATTGGGCCCTTGGATCTTATAGACAGATGTGGCAACATGACCTATTCACTTCTCCTAATAAAATCCCCCATTTGAAAGGATTCCAGTTCAATTTTCGTATGTCTGATATAACGACTTTCATAAATGGAGTTGTAAAAATTGCTTGATTGAAAATTCGTTTGTTATTGATACTTTATCGGTTAAATTCGGTCAAGTTCGAGTTGGATTTGTGCATTATAACCTTTGTATGTTTGAATGTAATTGAGGATGAGTAATTGTTAAATAAAATTCTAAATGTCTAACTGACTGGAACTAAAACGTTTTTAATAAAAATAGAAAAAATTAACATACACGCTTTATACTCGCTGTGATTATTACTACGTGTGGTGATTATGGTACCATATGTATGTATGTAACTTGTTCCCATCTATTTAGTAGGGTTTTTAAGAAATCGGTTTTTTTTTATAAATTGAAGTCATTTAAAATATCACAAGTAACAATGTAAACAGCTAATTTGTTAATTTAAACACAATACTCGATTTAAATTAAATCTATCTATACTTATTATAAAAATAAGTCCCCCGGCCGCGTCTTTCTGTCCTCCTGTCTGTCCTCCTGTCTGTCTGAACGCGATAAACTCGAAAACTACTGAACGGATTTTTATACGGTTTTCAACAATAGAAAGAGTAATTCTTGAGGAAGGTTTAGGTATATAATTTATTATGCTTTTATGTAAATTAGCTGAAATACGGCGACAAATGTTGAAGAGGTCGCAAAAAATCTCGCCAAATGGGAACTTTCCACGCGAACGCCGCGTAAACTAGCAAAGATACAGTTAAGTAATGTACTAGAGAATTCAAAATCTATAAAAATGCTACAAAAAAGTCCGCGATAGCATATCTCTATCTCTTACGGTTGACTTACAATAACCACTTTTATGTTAACATTTTTAATTAAAAACATTACGTTATTTTCAAAGTTATTTTCTTTAGTTCGGTATTAATCCTTATCCAAATGAATATTTTAGTTAGCTTAGTCATTTAATGCAGATTAAAATTGCTCTTTACACTAAATCAATCAGATGAATAGTTTTTGAGATATCGTTGTTAGAAGTAATTAGTAGCGAAACATTTTTAATGCTTGGCGAGCATTGAGATGCCTACGGCGAGTCCATCCCCTCTGCCCCGCATCGCTCGACCGCCTGCTCAAGCTATATAAACCGGGCGATGTAGCGCGCGATCCTAGGATACTTTTTACCGCGGGAAAATATCTTATTTCTGAGGAAAAATACAAAAACTGCAATGTAAGAGTATACTAATATGTAACACCTAAGAATTTAGTTTTTGGTCATCTGAACGCGGGCGGAGCCGCGGGCAATGCTAGTAAATAATATTATTGTTACTGATAACTTCGAAAGTAAAATATTATATTGCTTGTTAAATAATAACGGGAGTGTGATTCATTTTCCGATAAATTGAACAATGCTCATGGGATTCGCGATTCCAGCGTCGTCTTTTTTCGCACAATAAATAACTTATTAAGAGAAATATTTTTATAATAATACTAGCTATCGGTTCTAGTTTCGTCTAGATGCGAAGTTATACATAATTAAAACCATACGTATGTACATCTGTATATGAATATTATACATGTGAAAGTTTGTGAATATGTATGGATATTTGTTATTATTTCACGCCAGAACGGCTGAACGGATCTTGATGAAATTTGGCACAGAGATAGATTATAGTCTGGAATAACACATAGGCTACTTTTTGTCGCGGAAAAATATACGGTTCCCGAGGGATAGATTTGTTCATTTTTGCAGGGGCGAACTCGAGCGAAGCGAGGGTGAGCCGCTAAATATCTTCTAATATATAAATATGTCGTGTCACGTTGTTTGTGGTCGCACTCCTCTGAAACGGCTCGACCGATTTTAATGATTTTTTTGTATATTTGGTAGGTATGAGAATAGGTCGTTAAGTATTTTTCACGCTCCCACCCCCACCCGACCATTTTTTAATCCCAATTTTAATATTTTTGTATGTACAATAATTTAATAATATATACATATATATCGCTATATTTAACCATAAAGCAAAAGAGTTTTTTTTTTGTAGATTGAAAACACGCGAAGCCGCGGGTTCTACTAGATTATATAATTTCACGCTATATTTTTATTACTAATCCAAAAATGCACAAAAACATTTTTAACATAATATATTATCATCAAAAATAAATTCAATGTTACAAAAATAACATTAGGTAGACAACTGAGTCGCAGTTATTAACACCCATTTTTTGAGCTACATGTTAAATATACATCTACGAGTATATATAAAAATCGATGTGTATATGTATGTATATATGTATTCAGCCCTTTTTATCGTCCCATTGCTGGGCACGGGCCTCCCTTCAATACGAGGGGGGATCAGGCCATAGCCCACCACGCTGGCCAAGTGCGGGTTAGCGGACTTCACATATCTTTCGAAAACTTGCTAAGTTCTCTCAGACATGCAGGTTTCTTCACGATGTTTTCCTTCACCGTAAGGCAAGTGGTAATCATGCTAGAAACGATTCGCACATGAAAATATCAGAGTTGCGAGACCCGGAATTTGAAACCGCATCACTCGGTTTCCCAAGCGAGCGCGTTACCACTAGGCTACCACTGCCTTAATCTGCCATGTATATATGTATGTTCCCTATAAATGCCAAAACAGCCGGAGCGATTTTGATGAAATTTGCAAGCAATCTTCAGAGTAGCCTAAGATGATGATCCTGTGAAGTTTGATAGCTATCGGAAGTTTGAATACGGGAGAAGCTAGTTATTATTATAACCTAAATTAAATACAGAATTATCAGATCTTCAAACATCAAAAAATACAGAAAAATAAAATATTACACATACTCAAATTGTTTACTCATAAAAAAAATTGCCTCGTGCTTTTGTATCGTATGGATCCGCAAGGAATAAACGTACGTGCTTTAAGCAGTTTACAAAATCGATACAAACACACATGTACAGAGCATCTGACTTCAAAATATCAAAAAAAAACCTCTATTGAGGGTGAGATATTTTAACTAGGTTTAAAGGGATTTCGAAGTCGACGCTCCTCATTATTCTAAGGTTTTCTAAATCATTTGTAATACGATAGTAAAATACACCATTACCAAGTAATTGAAATAAACTTTTTGTTTACAGAATATCAGTGATTTTCCAAGTTCGTTCAGCAAAAGCTGTCAAGATATCGGATATGTACCTATTGCGGCGTATCGGCGTAATTGTGGGGGTGGCTTGTGTCTTGCTCTCAATTCGGACCCTTGTCGCACCCCCTGCAGTTATAGTCGGGAGGACGAGAGAAGATTTAAAGGCATACCTTTGTAATACTGACTGGTGGGACCACTCCTTTACTACGTGTAAGTATAAATAAATTAAAGAAAAATATTGTAACTCCGCATTGAAATACTCGTAATCTATCTATGTACATGCATACTAATATTATAAATGTGAAAGTGTGTTTGTTTGTTTATCGTGAAAGAAGTTCACGTCGAAAGGGAGTGACGGATTGGTGTGATTTTTTGTGTGGATATAGTTGGAGGGCTGGAGAGTGACATAGGCTACTTTTTACCGCGGGAGTTTAACTAATTCCCACGGGACAACACTTTATAATACAATCCAAAAAAATATTTATGATTAGAATTACTTGAAACTTGCTCTTAAATAAAATTAAATAAATCATGTTTTAGCACTTTTCGAAATTCATCCTTAAGGGGGTAAAATAGTGGATGAAAGTTTATATGGAACTACTTTTATACAGATTTTCTCGTAGTTTTAGCGCGAGCGAAGCCGCATGTACTGCTAGTATATAATAAAGTTCTAACTGAGTCGAATTTGTACAATCAATATTTTTTGGAAAATTTTATTGAAATAGACGTTACTATCGATATAGAGGCCGAATCTATAGTTTTTAGATTTTTTCCTGTCTGTCTCTTATGACCGCATCACGGAAATACCACTGGACGGATTTTGATGAAATTTGTATGATAATAGCTGGTTATCTGGATCAACATATAGAATAATTTTGACTATGGGAAAATATCTCATCTCTGAGAAATCTATACTTAACGTTAAAACGTAAGTAGGGATGAACCCGAGCGGAACGAGGGTGAGTGGTTTTCGTACAATTACTTAGCCTATTGCTGGCTTAACCTTGAGCTACATCAAAAAAATGTATATAATAGAAAATCCTAAGTCTTAAAAAGGCCTACAGGGAAGTCCCTGATAACATATGTCTATTTTTTAAGGAACGCTCCCAATAGCTATTTTTTGAATATAAAACGTGTCTAGGGAAGCACCAGAAGTCTAATCTAATATTGAAGTGAAAATAATAATAAATAATAAATGTTGGGACATTAACACACAGCGCCATCTAGTACCATGGTAAGCTACGAGGCTTGTGTTATGGATACCAGATAGTTGATACACTACACATATATAACTTTATATACATACATATTATAAATATAAACACCCATGACTGGAGTACAAACATTCGTGCTCATCACACAAATGAATGCCCCCAGCGGGACTCGAACCCGCGACAGCTAGCACAGCAAGTAGGGTCACTACCAACTGAGCCATACGTGTCGTCGACGTAAATAAATAAAATGTGTATCTTATGCTACTATTATAAAGAGGTAAAGTTTGTAAGCTTGCGAGTTTGATTGCAGGAAGTAATCTCTGGAACTACTGAACCGATTTAGATGAAATTTGGTAAGAATATAGTTTAAGACCCTGGAAAGAACACAGGATAGTTTTTATCTCGGAAATCATCCCTGAAGGGGTTGAAAATGGGGATAAAAATTGTATGGGGAATCAACCTAGGGACGAACCCGAGCGAAGCAAGGGTGAGTCGCTAGTTTCTTATAAACAGATGCTTCAGTTTTGTTTATGTACATAGATCGATTTCCTAAACCTTTAGCTGAGAAGTTCTATACATTTTGTAGCTTTCCTTTCTTTATTCAATTACTTTCTCGGTTAAAATACTCATGATAATGAAACTTTTTTTCAGACGCCAGACAAAAAGATCACAATTTTATTCTTATCTTTATTTGGCAAAGAAAACGACACATTTCGGGCTGAAAATTTTCATATATTTATTAAATTATTGAATATAACTCGTTGTCGTTATATTCGTTGTAGTAGAATAAATATAATAATCAATTATATATCGTATCTTTTACGTTATGAGAGCGAATGAGTTAAAATTAAAGTTTAAAAAAATGTATATAACCTCGTTACTTATTTCTTTTTTCTCACGCTCGAGAGTTTCTGGTAGAGATCACTTAAAGTGAGAAGTCATCCGTTTTACAGAAGATGCAAAATAATACAGTACGATACGAGATATCTGTTTTCTATTTTTATATGTATTTTTATGGTTCATAAATATATGGAATACGCTTTCGATCAACTAAAATGTATAGGACCAGTCAAAATAATCCAAATGAGTCTAAATTTGAAAGTTTAACTCGGATAAATTGAATTGCGAAGCCCCTCATCCATATCTTCTCTCAATTATCAAAACTGTTCGATCCAATCTATTGAATGATCATTCGAATAAAGCATAATAAATAGTTTTAATTCGTAATACATTATAACAAGAAGGTTCAAATCGATTTTCAAGTCGATTAAAAGTGTTTTAGCGAATCTTATAAAAACGTGTAAATAAGAAAGTTGTCAATAGGCAATCAAACTTTAACTGTGATACTTGAACAACATAATTATGTTTATTTTTTTATAATAACACCAAAAAACTTTCTACAAGCTCTTTCTTATAGTTTAAATGAAATAGCATTTTACAGTTGTAACAGACGGACCGACAATATAAGCTTATGTATAAAGTCCCGTCTTGATCTTTTAACCTCAAAACCGTAAAAACTATAACACTTACTAAAGGAGACAAAAAATTACAAAGGTTTATAACGTTAAGAGCATATGACTCAGCAACCGTGAACTTGAATAAAAACTCACAAAAACATTTATTTCAATTTTAAAAACCTATGTAATATGTATCCAGAAATACCCATGCTTAGGTTAGGTAGCTGATGTATGTAGGTGGACTTAATTTTTGTGACTCCTGAGTTATACCTGTGTATTTTTTATATTATTTATTTACTAATTTATTTAATAATTTATTTATTTAGAATTAGTCGACACGTTTGGCTCAGTTTGTAGTGACCCTACTTGCTGTGCCAGCAGTCGCGGGTTCGAGTCCCGCTGGGGGCATTCATTTTTGTAACGAGCATGAATGTTTGTACTTCAGTCATGGGTATTTATATTTATAATATGTATGTATTTAAAGTTATATATTATGTGTAGTGTAACTTAATCAGTGCCTATGCCCCCCAGGCAGGCTGTAGTGAGGCCGAGAAGGAATCTTTCTGGGAGCAGTTTGAAGAGGCACTACGCGCTATACAGACTACCGAAGTGATAGTTGTTGGGGGAGACTTAAACGGTCATGTGGGTAAGGCTGCTGAGACGTATGAACGTGTCCACGGTGGTTTTGGTTATGGTCGTCGCAATACAGAGGGAGCACACATTCTAAGAACCTGTATTGCGTCTGATCTGGCCATCGTGAACACGTTTTTCCAAAAGAATGCTCAGCACCTTATCACGTATAAGAGCGGTCCTCACTTAACTCAAATCGACTATCTCCTGACCAGAAGGTGTCATATTGGCAAGGTGACTAACTGCAAAGTCATTCCGGGTGAAAGCCTAACGGCCCAACATCGCCTCCTTGTCATGGACTATATGTTTACCCCGAAAAAGAAACTAGCCGAGAAACGCAAACCTAGGATCAAGTGGTGGTTACTGAATGGACCGATGCGGATGGACTTCCTGGCGGAGGTTGAGAAGCAAAATTTATCGACTGACACCGAAACCGCCGAGGAGGCTTGGGATCGAGCCCAGTCAGTAATTACCGCGGTAGGAAAGCGAGTTCTTGGCGTTTCTAAGGGAGGGCGAGTCATCGACAAGGAGACGTGGTGGTGGAATGATCAGGTGCAGGGGGCGATTCGAGAAAAGAAGGCTGCGTTTAAAGAGTGGCAGCAAACCAACTCTCCTGAAGATAGAGAAGAGTACAATGCAGCCAAACGTGCCAGCAAGAGAGCTGTAGCCAGAGCCCGCAGCGATAGCTTATCTCCATTATATAATAAGCTAGAAACTGCGGAGGGGCAAAAGCTCATATACAAGCTGGCACGTGCTCGGGATAAAGCGACGCAAGATATCACAAAATGTCTTTGCGTCAGGGACTCCCAGGGCACGCTGCTTTGTAACCAAGCCTCTGTGAAGGAGAGATGGAAAGACTACTTCCGAGAGCTCCTGAACAACCAGCACTCATACAGTCTTCCCCCCGAACCACCCCCTAACCTAGGACTTGTTGCCCCAATAACACCTGATGAAACTCGGGATTGTCTTCGCCGCATGAAGAACCGAAAAGCGGTGGGACCTGACGACATACCGATCGAGGCGTGGAAATCGTTAGGCTCTCTTGGTGTGCGCATGCTTACAGATCTCTTTAACTGCATCTTGAACACTGGAAAGATGCCAAATCAGTGGCGTTTTAGCTTTATAACCCCTATATACAAAGGCAGGGGCAGTGTTCAGGATTGCGGTAGTTATAGAGGGATCAAAATCATGTGTCACACCATGAAGCTTTTCGAACGCGTGATCGACCTCAGGCTCCGGCAAGAGTGTGCTGTCTCTGAGTGTCAATATGGGTTCCAGCCGGGATCGGGCACCATGGACGCCATTTTTGCCCTCAGAACTTTGATCGAGGCTTACAGGGAGAAAAGGAGAGCTCTGCATTTGGCATTTTTGGACCTGCAGAAGGCCTTCGACTGTGTGCCTCGTCAATGCATCTGGTGGGCGTTGCGATTCAAGGGTGTGCCTGAAGCCTATATTGACATTATCAGGGACATGTACTGCAACTCCGCTTCTGTGGTTAGAACCGCTGTTGGCGATACCGAGCCCTTTCCGATCACTGTAGGGGTCCACCAGGGTTCGGCTCTTAGCCCGTTCTTATTCAACGTAGTAATAGATGTTGTCTCGGCATGCATCCAGGACCAGCCTCCATACCTAATGATGTATGCCGATGACATTGCACTCGTTGATGAGAGCCGCCTGGAGCTGGAGCGTAGGGTGAACCTATGGAAGGGTACGCTTGAAAACGGTGGTCTTAAATTAAATGTGGCGAAGACCGAGTACATGGCCTGCGGGAGTTCAGACTCTAGCACCATCCAAATAGGGCTTGAACCAGCCGTTAAGTCGGAGAAATTCAAGTACCTTGGATCCGTCCTGCACGAGTCTGGAAGCATCGACCACGACGTTCAAGCCCGTATAAGCGCTGCTTGGGCCAAATGGCGGGAGGTCACTGGTGTGGTCTGTGACCGCAGAATACCGCCCAAGCTCAAGGGACAGATATACAAGAGCATTATCCGACCGGTCCTTTTATATGGAAGCGAGTGCTGGCCAGCGCTATCTCGGCACACTCAGGAGCTTCACGTCACGGAGATGAAGATGCTGAGGTGGATGTGTGGCATAACGCGGGCTGACCGCATACGCAACACATTCATCCGGGGCAGTCTCGGGGTCCGCGACGTAGCGGATAAGCTCCAAGAGCGGCGTCTGGGGTGGTATGGCCATGTTGCGCGTCGGTCTGAGGACTATGTCGGAAGAAAGTGCCTTGATATATCTGTCCCTGGAACAAGACCTCCCGGGCGCCCAAGAAAGCGATGGCTGGATGTCGTGAAGCAGGACATGAGAGCCAATGGACTTACCCAGGATGATGCTAAAGACCGTGCAAAGTGGAGGAGGCTAAGCAGGAAGGCAGACCCTGGCAATAGCCGGGATTAATAATGCCAGGCAGAAGAAGAAGATTATGTGTAGTGTATCAACTATCTGGTATCCATAACACAAGCCTCGTAGCTCACTATGTAACTAGATGGTGCTGTGTGTTAACGTCCCAACATATTTATTTATTTATTTATTTATAATCAAGTACAAACTTTAGCATATTATAATGCCACAAACACTTTCAATAAAAATATCTGCATTAGTAAGACAATTGAGTCGCAGTTATTAAGTGTATGAGTATGTAGTTCTACCCTTATTTTTTTGTTATCTGTTTGCAAAGCTATCTAGCGTACAAGACACCTATGTACCAAAATTATATAATATAACTTCAACAGATTTTGTGTTAAGTGGCAGTGACACACAGACAGACGGAAAGTCTTTACCATTTGACTACGGAACCGAAAAAAACGCAAAGCCCAAAATTTTATAATAAATTCAATCTATATCCTCACGTACGTAAAGTTAGGAAATAAGAAAACCCGCAGATTTCAGCATTTTACTCCAAACAAATAAACCGCAAATAGTATGATGGAAACAAGTCATCGTCATAAAGACCCTGATGTTATAGATATATATATTTTTTCATTTTCATAATATATTCAACGTTGAAGCCAACATTTGAATCATGTTTAAGGCGGCTGATAAGCGAAACGCGAGCTTGCCAAAATTGTACTTGAAAAATATGAAATTTTTATCACGTAGTATCGTTTCTCTCATTAATATGAGACGTAAAATATGAAGTAAATAATATGAATAAATGTGTATTTGTAGGTGCATTATCGTAAATATTATTTGTCAACTAAATTTTACTTGTGATTTTTCTTGTTAGATTAGAGGCTATTAATCTAACTAGCAATTGCCCGAGGCTTTTCTCGCGTAGTTTTAAAAATTTTTGTAGAAACTTCAAACCTATTTCTTACCACTATTTACGTCTTTTACATAATATCCTTCCTAAGTGGATACTTACTCCCTATAAAAATGTACCTGAAATTTCGTCGAATTAATCAGTGAATGGTATTTCACAGATTAATCCAGTAGTGAACTGTCATTGTACTTTCTTAAAACATGAATATTTGATATTTTAAATAAAACTATTTTTTCGGGTTGTTTTTCGCGGATTTATTGTATTTATTTATTGATATTATTACAGACAGTACACTGTCTGTAACAAGTATATTATGAACCATAGGCACTGTAAAGCATTTGAAACGTTGGGAAACAAAAATCAAAATAAATCCGCGAAAAAATCCGAAAGGATAGTTTTATTTGAACAGCTGTTTTTTTTTCGTGTTAATTGAAAAAATAGCGCTCGTCTAACGAAATAATCAGAATTTTAGGTGAAGTGTAAGAATATATACTATGTATAAAACATATATCAGCTTGTCCGGCAAAAAGTAACATTTTACTGTGGGTACTTTTAGTACTAATAAAAAACCTAACCCTATCAAATAACATTTGACGACACGTTTGTACTCCAGTCATGGGTGTTTATATTTATAATATGTATGTATTTAAAGTTATATTATATGTATGTGTAGTGTATTAAGTGTCTGGTATCCATAACACAAGGCTCGTAGCTTACCATGGAACTAGATGGTGCTGTGTGTTAACGTCCCAACAAAAAAACAAAAACTCAAAAACGACATATCATAAAATAGATTAAAATGGAGATATAGAAAAAATCTTTAATTTTTTTTATTCTCAAACAAATCTAAAATCCCCTTCCTCACATAAGGATGCGTAACAGATATGATGTTTTCTTAAAAAAAAGAAATAATATGCACAAATGGTAACTTATAGGTATTTAAAAAAAATCAAAAATTTTATACCCTAAAAATAGGTTTTACAATTAAAAATATATTATATTAAAAAATAGCGCAAACCCGTAATTTTTTTAATATATATTTTTAATATACCTTCTTTTTACAGTTACTGGATATATATATACAATATATATATATATATATATATATATATATATATATATATATATATATATATCAGTTTTTTTAACTTATGTTGATTTAGCTGCCTCGGTGATCTAGTGGTACGGCCCGAAGATCCGGAGGTCCTAGGTTCAAGTCCTGGGTCTGGCTAAGTTCAGTTACTGAGTATTTAACTCCTACCGGTCGTGTCGAAGTATCGTTCCATTGGACTTTGAGAGTGACAGGAATAGAGAGTACACGTTGTGTCTGCGCGTACACGCGCTGCACTATAATATCTCCTACGCATCTGGCTAATCTCAATAAGAAAGACCGTCGTGGCCGGAATCGGTCAATAGGTTATTATTTATAATTAAACAAGTTAAAAGTTATACCTCAGAAAATGAAGATATTTACTAATAATTTGCATAAATATCCAACTAAATTTCATTTGAAGTCAATTAAACAATAGTTTATATTAACTTTAAATTACGGTTGGTCGAAATTCACAGACATTTTGTTTGATAATATTATTATTAATAATCAATTTTATTGAATTTAAGTACGAGATCCTTATTACAAATTTAGTTTCTCAGAAACTTATTGATATTTTACGCTATAGTAAAATAGATTTTCAATATTGACTTTTAAAAGTTTAAACAATATTTTTCTAATAAATAACACCTCCAGGTAAATTTCTAAGAAATTAATTAAATTTCTAAGAAATCTATTGTTAACTGTAACGCCGCGCCGGCGTGTCCGCGGTCGTGGAAGGAATAATCTATATATATAAAAATCAATTGCCGTTCGTTAGTCTCGCTTAAACTTAAAAATGGCTGAACCGATATAAATAATTCTTTTTTGTTTTGCTAGGAGTGTGTCAGGGATGGTTTAAGTATGAAAAAAAATAGGAAAACCCATAAAAAACAGCTGAAAATTCAAAAGTTTGAAACTGTTATCTTTGTACCTATGTATATTATATATAATATATAGTCTATCTATTCCATACTAACCGTTAAAACGTACCTAGGAGCGAACCCGAGCGAAGCTAGGGTGAGTCGCTAATGTGTGATAAAATTTATATTATTTTAATGTAATTTGTTCGCAGTGGAAGTCATTTTTCTAATGTGGGGTATACGCCTATGCATCATGGTAAGGAAAGCACCATCCGAGTTCAACGAAAGCAGGTTCATATCCATGGCCATATACAACGAGTTCCTTCTCTCCGTATTTCTTAATATTTCTATGTGAGTATATTTTTTACATAATTCTTGATATAATAGTACATAAGTCTATCTCATATTGACACTCGCTTTCAGCATTCAGTACACACGACTGTAAAGAGATTAGATCAAAGAGATATCTAAAACAGCTGGATAGATGCTAGATTCTCAAAGGAGCAAAGGTGAAACACCACCTAAAATTTCCTAATTGACTTAAAAATTTCTTAATAAAATAAACTTAGCTAAAAACATGCTCAGGAATGAGACTTACACAAAACAAAAAACCGTTTCAAAATCCCCTAGCCGTCTTCGAGTAAAATGATAACAGACACACACACACACAAACACCTCTTGCACCAAACGCATATACCGTCTCCGTGGCTGTCGCAGGTAAAACACCTACCACGTACATACATATGTATATACATATCAAGTACTTAGACACATAGAAATTATATTTTTTTGTCCTGAAATTATTAAATACTAGCATTACCCGCGACTCCGCCCGCGTTCAGGTGACCAAAAACCAAAATTCTTAGGTTTTACATATTTAGTATACTCTTACGTTGCAGTTTTTGTATTTTTCTCAGAAATAAGATATTTTCCCGCGGTAAAAAGTATCATGTATGTTGACCCGGATAACCAGTTATCACCATACCAAATTTCATTAAAACCCCTCCAGTGGTTTTTCCGTGATGCGGTAACAGACAGACAGACACACAAAATTCTAAAAACTAAAGATTCGGCCTCTGTGTTGATAATAATCTATTACAATAACATTTTCCAAAAAATATTTAATGTACAGATTTGGCTTAGTTACAATTTTATTATATGTAAAGATTATGTTTGACATTAGCCTAGTCACCGTAAAAAGAGATCGCGAATTTCAGTTTGGCATAACGTTTTTATAAATTAAATAACAATTTCATGTACACTCTATCCCGCGGGGCATGTAATAAATTTAAAATATATGTACTACATTATAATGGAAATGTCGTCAACAAAGATTTCATCCCCATTGTATCACATCACATGAGTAATAAATTATTTGAAAATAAAAAACACATTATATGATTAAAATCTAAGCTTTGTGAACAATATCTAATCAAAGTAATGACTATAGAAATAACAAAATCACGTAAATGAATTTGACGACATTCTAATGGGGTGTGACTGCCTCGGTGGTGTAGTGGCTAGAATGTACGGCTGCACACCCGGAGGTCCTGGGTGTGAGTCCCGGGTCGGGCCAAGTTTAGTTGTTGAGTCTTTCTGTATATTAAGCCTCAGTAACAGCCCGGGGTTGGGAAGTTAGCGGTGTTTCACCCCCGTGCCTCGGAGAGTACGTAAAGCCGTCGGTCCTGCGCCTTAACTCTCACTGGTCGTGTCGAGTGGTCGTCCCACCAGAGTATGAGAGTGACAGGAATAGATAGAGAGTGCATTTGTGTCTGCGCGTACACTTGTGCACTATAATATCTCCTGCGCAGTTGGCTAGTCTCAATGAGATTGGCCGCCGTGGCCGGAATCGGTCAGGAGAACATCATCAATGGGGGTGTCAAATGATTAAAAGTAAAACCTATGGGTTTTTGAATTATTTAAACTGTGTCACTTTGTAATATAGCATGTACATATATTGTGCTTATTTTATTATATTAAACTAGCGACTCACCCTCTCTCCGCTCGAGTTTGTCTCTAGGTACGTTTTAACGGTTAGAACAGATTTCTCAGAGTTGAAATATTTTCCCGCAATAAAAAGTATCTGTTGACCCGGATAACCAGTATAGGAAGGTATAAGGTTAAAGGCATAGTACAAAATGCTGTCTTTACTTTTGACAAGAAACCTTAGTCTATTAGCAAGCTTGCAATTTCAAAATCTCATTTGTTTCAGAAATATTAAACAGCTAATTTACAAATTGTCTTGAAATCAGACCCAACCAAGGCTTTTGCATTTTCAATTATGATAATTATCAAAGAGAACTACTCCTTTAATCGAATACATGGATGAAAATGATAATAAAAATATCATACTTTATTTATATAGTTATATAATATAACATACTTATTTTAAGTTGTATATTGTTAACAATCTATACTAATATTATAAAGAGGCTGACTTTGTTTGAACGCACTAATCTCAGGAAGTACTAATCCGATTTAAAATATTATTTTTGCATTAGATAGCCCGTTTATCGAGCAAGTTTATAGGCTATATATCATCATGCTACTACCCAAAGATGCGGAGCAGTAATCATAAATGTCAACAAATCGGGCAGACTTCCATACATTATTGTAAAACTGATGTTTACACCGGAAGTTTGAACGTGGCGAAACCGCAAGTACTGCTAGTATATAATATAATAAGTATTTGATAGCTAATAGACTAAATTGTGCCCAAATGACACTTCTAGAAGCCGCGAAACAAAAAAATTGAATTCAATAGCCAAGGGACTAGGTTTGCCTTTCTTTTACAAAGTTATGAAGCAACGAATCGACAAGGTTTTTTGCATATATTTTTGAAACCAATGAGCCAGAAAGTGAGATAAGTTTTTATCCCGGAACATCACGTATTTCTCATGTGATATTAATGCCATGCAAAAGTTCAGAAAAAATCATAACAAATAGACAAAAATATAAAAGAAAGTTATTACATAAGAATTCTTTCTAAATATAATATAATAATGTAATATAATATTATTATTAGTGTTGATTTCAGTATCTAAAACAGTTCTTTGTAAAGAAGATATTTCTTGTTTAAATATTTTTGTCGGCGTTTTTTTTTTATAGAACTTAACTTTATAAAGCTAATTTTAATATTTTGAATTTTCTCTGAAGTATCATTCAAGTACATATTCATTAATACTTTCTTAGATTTACGCGAATATTTGACATTTTAAATCTATACTAATATTAAATGTACGGTTCCCGTGGGATAGAATTATTTAAAACGTCGGAAACCAATAATCAAACTAAATCCGGGAAATGATCCGAAAAGATAATTTTACTTAAAATTTATATTTATTACTTAAATAATTTTTGACTCAGTCGTTACAGAGAACTGTACAGTTACAGAGATATTGTTGTATACATATTTTAGCGTTAGTTGCTTGTGAACCAAACAAAATTACAAAATGGCAGGTAGACAAACCCACAGGCAACTGCTTGTTAAGTATAATTAGAGATTTTCAATTCTCTGACCTTTTCATTTCACAAGGCACGAAGGATTCTTGACTTTTCTCTATTCGAATTTTCTCGAGCTACCAAGGATTTTTTCTTTTTTTTTTATATTTCATTTTTATTTATTTTAAATTATTTTAACTAACGTATATTTATATTGCTAAATTTAAACTTGATTGGTAAATAATATTATTAAAACGGCTTTTTAACTACATATATGTACATAGAAGGGTTGTGTTTTTTTTAAATAAAGCAGCTTTATGGCACCTAGTCATTAAATAAAAAATCGGTCAAGCGCGAGTCGAATTCACACACGAAGAATTCCGCGCCATTGTACATGTACATACTTTTTATAACTTCGATGATCGATTACGTATGTTAAAAAAATGTTTTTTTTTGTATTTTTATTATTTTTTGTTATAGTGGCAATAGAAATACATACTCTGTGAAAATTTCAACTCTCTACCTATTACGGTAAATGAGATACAGTCGTCTGACAGAAGCTTAATAATAGGGTTCCCCTGGCACCCTTCGGATACGGAACCCTAAAAAAGAATTATATAAATATAAATATGTTGGGACATTAACACACAGCACCATCTAGTTCCATGGTAAGCTACGAAGCTTGTGTTATGGATTTTTTTTTTTTTTAATCTTTATTTTTATAGAGGGTTTTTTCACAAAGCGAAAATGTCACCCTCATCATTGCTTACAAATACATATAATATAAATAACAAATTCACTTACTTCTAAGTTTAATCACTAATTTAACTAATTTATAAAGCATCTTAGCTTTATTAGACAAAGGATTAGCTAAAATACTATTACAGTATCCAACATTGTTTCCACGTTGAGGTAATATCAATGATCTTTGTGCTTTAACTCGGTCACATTCTTCTAATACATGATAGACATCTTCTACTGTACCACACAGGGCACAATTGGGAGAACTTACTTTGCCCATCATGTAACCAAAACTATTTAAAGGGATGTGACCAGACCGAATGCGAAATGCAATGATAACCTCTTGTCTACTTATCTTTTCTAATTCAAACCATAGTGAACCCATAAGTTTAGGCTGAATAGTTTTGTACCAGATTCCTTTAGTAAGGGAACGCTCATCAAAATATTCTGACCACAAATTTAGACAGTTTTTCCGTAAATCCCCTATATAGTCAGTAAACCAAGGTACATATTCGTAATGACTTCCCTCAGAAATTGCTTCCTTGGCCAGACGGTCAACTTTTTCATTGCCAGCTAGCCCAATATGCGATGGAATCCATTGTAAGATTACATTTTTATTTGAAGTGTTGAGTTCATTTAAATTATTTAAAATCGTAAAGGCAATAGGATGTCCTCTAAAATTCATTGTACACTTTAAAAGGTAAAAGAGAGCACTTTTAGAGTCAGTGTAAACCACAAAATTTTGATAATCAATAGTTTTGGATGTACGAAATGGCTTCGGCAATTGCTATAAGTTCAACAAACATTATAGATATTTGAGCACTGATACTAAATTTACAACATGTCCCTGTTTTTAAATCCAAAAAGGCCGCTCCACAACCTGCTTCTTCTTTAGACCCATCAGTATAAATTTCATAATAATTTGGATATGCTACACTTAATGTCTTAATACAAATCATTTTCAATATATCGCGTTCGTAACAATGTTTAGGCTTATTAACAATTTCTAAATTAGGTTTCACTGCCTTATCTATATTTAAATTGGAGAGCCATATATCTAAAGAGAATATTTCATTAAGACTACTTTTATAAATTTCATTACACTTTAAAAAATTGTATACTGCTACCAAAAGTGGTTGTTTCTTACGTCTCCAGAATAAAACATTTGT